ATATATATATATATATGTCTGTGTGTGTGTATACACTTGTACAAAATTTATATCTTTCAGTAACGTCAAATCAGTGATCGACACATGTCATGTTCCGTTGAAGAACATCATACTTATGGGCCATAGTCTTGGCGCGCATGTAAGTGCGTTCGCTGCGAAGAATCTTCAGCAATCCGCAGGTTACGGCAACATTTCGCTTCTCATCGGTGCTGATCCCGCTTCTCCCGGGTACATATTTAAGGATTGCAAGGACAGATTCTGCAACACGGACGCGAAACGTGTAGTAGCTCTTCACACATCGATGATTGGACTGCAAAAATCTCTAGGTCACTTGGATTTGTGGTTCAATAACGGATTAGGTCAACCAGCATGTGGTGGTAATTATTATTTAACTTAAAACTAAATTATTCAAATAAAAATAATATTAAACAGAAAAAACTTATGAATAAAATAAAAATACTTGTTTTAGTTTCAATAATCAATGATTTGAACTTTTTCTGCTCGCATATTATTCTCCTTAAGTATATGGCTAATATGTTGAAAGATGATTGTGTATTTATTGGTAATCCTGTACCGTAAGTTTGCCTATATTTAACTAACGACATGTTTAACTTACAATTAGATTAATCCACCTTTTGCGATATTTTCTGTGTTACTGTCCTAATGTCCTCATGTCAAAGTAAATTTATTTATAAGATAGAAGCTACATTATGATAATAAAATTATTTATAATTTTTCAGGCGTAGAACAAACTTGCTTGCAAGGTGTGTAAATTATAAGATCTATTATTTAAAATTTTTTATTTATAGACTTTTATTAATGGTTTACCTTGCGACTGTCGTATAATATTGTATATCACAACTGAGTATATGTATATAACTTTTGCAGTATTCAGCCCGGTTGTTCTTCCAGCAGAACCGACTGCATTGTCGTGGATAACAGGATATTTGACCCTAACTATTCCGTAAAGGGAGACTATTGTGTTTCCGTTTCACCGAAAGTTCCCTACTGTTATACAAAAAACAAAATTAACTGTCAAAAATAAAATGCAGCAAACGACACTTCAATTTCAATGAAAATGAAGTTTTATAATTGTTAATCATATAATAACACATGTAATTAAATGAAATCGCGAACTTATACCTAGGAAATATTACGATTTTATATATTAATCACAATTTTATATTTTACTTTATATAAATCTCGTGATTTAACATTGACTTTATATTAAGCACAAATATTTGTTAAAATTTTGCACTGATGAAAAGAAATAAAGCATTACAATTGAAAATATTTAATAAAATTAATTGATAGAAATTCAAGAATGCAAAAAAGAAGAAAGAACTACTGAATTTCATTGTGCATTATTTGTTTTTTTTTATCTTATTGAATTAAATTATATAATAATTTTCATTTTATCCCAATTATACTTTTCAGTATAAAAAGATATTATTAATTAATTAATTTATTTATTTATTACGTGAATATAAGGGCATATTTACTTTATTAACTATTCATGTACGAAAGAATTCCTGATGTTCATAATTATTCTTATAAGACTTAAGACTGTCTTAAGTACAGATGTCATAATTAAACTAATTATATTGGAGCCGTATCTTAAAATTACTTGTAAATACTAGCCAAGGACTAGATACAAGGGACTAAATACAAAGGAGCGTGCTCTGACCCTGAGTGCCATATAGACAAGAGCATTTATTTGTTAACTTTTTAACCAACTTTGCTACAAAAATTACTTGTTAAATGTAAATTTGCTAAAAAAAAAAGTTGTTTTTTTTTTAGCTTAAAATATTAAATCTCATTCTCTGTATGCGCAAATTTTGAGACACCCTATATAATAAATTATAAGCAGGAACTAAATTATCACACTTTATCAGTACGTTTTATATTTTTATAAAAAATAGGAAATCCGTGTAACTTTCAAGAGATTTCTCAAAATTTGTAATATATATAATAAATTACTTGTGTTGATAAGTGTGACCAATGTTATAAGTGCAATAATCAATTATCAATTAATCAAGTATATCGATCAGATGACTTTTATCTGAATAATATATCAATAATTATTTGAGCAAGCTAACGATTAAATACATTACAAACTCAATCTAGGCATTACACACGTAGTCTAGGTATATTTAAGATCCGATAATCATAATCTCTCGCCTTAACAATAAGCTGCTTGCGTTATAAAGATACACAGTC